TGGGGGGGGGGGAGTGGCGGGCACTCCCCTGAGCCTAGCTTGGGCCTAAGGACGGGTCCCAATTCTGTCTTGCCGCAGCCTGGCACCGGAGCACTGGACCTACGTGGGCTTCTGCCTCAGGGGCAAGTATCACGTGTTCACCGTCCCCGCTTTTGGGCTGGCGCTGGTGCCCTACTGGTACACCACTCTCAAGCAAGAGCTCTACCTGCCGCTGCGTCGGCGCGGGATACGCCTGTCGTCACTCATCGACGACACAGCAGTGTTTGCCAACGGTGGCAGCCAGGGGGCGGCGCTGAGCTTGTGCCTGGTAGAGCTGATGACCAGCCTGGGATTCCACCTTCACCCTACCAAGTGTGTGCTGCAGCCCACGTAGCAATTGCGCTACCTGGGCCTGATGGTGGACACCGAGCAGATGGTGTTCAGGGTGCCCGATGACAAGCTGGGGGAGTTTCTGGAGGAGGTGGGCGTTACGCACGCGGGGGGCCTGTGGGCCGCAGCAGGGCCCCTGCGGCTGCGAGTGCCACCGATCCCCACCCCCGTGGGGCAGTGCGGCCGCGCCCTCAGCCTGAGGTCATGCTGGCATGTGTGCAGGCAGAGGCGGCCCTGCAGGAGCGCGCGATGACGGGGCGGCAGGTCCGCCGGCTGGCGGGCAAATTGGTGTCCTTCACGCTGGCGGTCCAGGGCGCGCCGCTGCTCTTTCGGGCACTCTTCCACGCCGCCAGGGTTAGGGGCAGCGAAAGGCTGGCTGCGGCAGGCTGCCCCCCCCCTCCAGTGGCGCAGGGCCCGCACATGCGTCCTGGGAAGGTACAGCGGGCCGACCTGAAGCCCGCCGCTGCCGGTCGCCCACCCCGCAGGGCATGTGTTGCCCCCTGATGTGGCACCCTCCCGATTGGGCAACCCCCGCCCCCGCTCCCTCCTGGCAGCCCGCGCGGCGCTCCCCTCCCATACGTGAACTGACCCCATATAGCCCTGTTTGAGGGTTGAGCGGGGCGGAGCGGGGCTGCTTGCACACGTGATGGCATGCACGCTTCAACGCTCCCGCTGTCATCTCACCTCTCTAGCGTCAGAAATACAACTCTTACAAGCCAACCAACACGAACAGAGAGACCGAACAACAGAAATGAACAGGAAATATGAAGCCGCCACAGGCGGCAGCACCTTCCAGCGGAGACGGCAAAGCGTACAAGGCACACTTTTTCAATGGTTCTTGCAATTGCCACCCTTACCGGTTATACAGCCACAGTGCCGCCCACACCGCGCACCATTCTTCTTGCAGCTGCAGTTCCGGGTGCAGGCGCCGCGGCAGCCGCAGCGCACGGCTGCCTTGCCGCCGCCGGGCTGCGCCGCCATCGCCACATTGAGAGACACCACAGGCACTCCTCGCTGCGCCGTGCCGCTGAAGGTCAGCTCGCTGGCCAGGCTGGGTGGCGCCTTA